CCTCATAATTCGAACCCTTCAACTGAACATGAGTTATGAGGCTTCCAGGGTGATCTGCCGAGGTCAAGGTGTACGGTGTGATTCCGCCTTCAACTTTATTCTTTGTATCGCCCATGGCAGCGAATTAAAGGAGAAAATAATTGCCTCAATTGTATGGCTCTGATGCCACTGTTGGGCCCCCGCGGGGATAGCACGAACTCCACATTGGTATGATATTGTCCAGATTGGGCCGGGCCCAACTGGTTTTGCTCTTGGGTTTCCCCAAAAGGCCTCATACCAATGGAGTTACTATCCCCTCCTTATAAAGGATAGATCTTTCCCATATTTAACCGATGTGGGCCCAACAGTGGTATCAGAGCCATGGCCCAGACTTAACCATGTGGTGGAAATTGCCGGAATCTGTGTGAAATTCCCGAATCCTCGGTGCCGAACAAATATGGTGAGCTCCCGGTGCGCAAATGGAGGTGGCTCAACGAGCTCCAGGTGGGAGGCTCGGTGTTCCTTTGTTCGAGGCTCGGTGCGCTCTGTAACAAAGATGGTGTGAGCCCCAGGCGCAAATTGAGGGGAGGCTCGGTGGTCCTTTGTGGTCCGACCTATGTGGTACTTTGTTCGAGGGGAGGATTGTTGAGGTGCAAACAATGTCCCACATCGGTTAAATATGGGAAAGATCTATCCTTTATAAGGAGGGGATAGTAACTCCATTGGTATGAGGCCTTTTGGGGAAACCCAAGAGCAAAACCAGTTGGGCCCGGCCCAATCTGGACAATATCATACCAATGTGGAGTTCGTGCTATCCCCGCGGGGGCCCAACATACAGTTGAATCCTTTCCTCCATTGAAGCTTAAGACAACCTATTTAGTAGTGAATCTAGTTTGCCGAGGTTAAAGCAAAACTAGCCCAATAATAATAAAAATGTCGCAAAAGCCCAGCCCGTGAAAGCTAACTTCAAAGCTCAAACCCATTTATTTCGGCCCAATTTCTAATATGGCCCAGTTGAGAATAAAAGTGATAGAGAGCCATGGAAGAAAACCACCTGCAAATATCAAAAAGGACATGTAAGGAGTTCATGCAACGTGGGATTGCAAAGGCAATTTAGGACTTTGGTAGTAAAGAGTTCATGCAACGTGGGATTGCAAAGGCAATTTAGGACTTTGCAATATTACATTTTACCAAGAAAGTGGAATATAATACTTAATAAACTGCATTTCCATGACATCTTCTCCAAATTTGGTCAGGAAAAGTTGAACAGATGACAAAAGATTAATAATGGCTGCCGCTGTTGGATTTAAAAAGCAACGAGGGAGCACAATTTGGCCCAATAGTAGAGAATTCTAGAAGATCTTTAATATAGCACAATTTGGCACAAGACTATACGATTCTAGAATCCTCCATTCGTAGCCTTTAGATCAAGATGATCACCAACCATCTATTGAGGAGATGGAGTTGTACAAATAGGGCTTAGAGGATCTTCATTTGTATGTAGGAGATTGCATTTGTATGTAGGAGATTGCAGGTATCTCTCCGAACGATTCCCATTTACAATGATCAACTTCACTCCGGGTGAAAAAAATGTTTTCAATTATTGATTTTTTTAACTAGGTGTGCTATTAATTAGGTCAAGCATGAAAAAAATGTTTTCAATTATTGATTTTTTTAACTAGGTGTGCTATTAATTAGGTCAAGCACTACACTCGTTGCCATTTGGAAATTGTCAATTGTCACTTGGAAAGACTCAAGAGACCAAAGAATAGAGGCACGCACGCACGGTTATCAAAAGTGAAGAACTGGTGGCATCTTCAAGGCTTAATTCATCAATTTTAACTAGAAAATGTTCATTTGAATTTTGGGTTGAAGGGTTTTTGGGTCCATGTCCCAAACCCAATTGTGGCCTAACCTTTTGTAGCCGACAAGCTTTATTCGACCACTACGTTCGTTCCCATTTCGAAACCGTGAGTTGGAGAGGTTCGATCAACTGCGGTTGTGGAGCCGTTTTCAAACAGAAGCCTGAGTACGTTGAATACATAAAGTCGGGTTCCTGTCCCCATGGTGGTGTTTATTGCTCGTGTGGACAATAGTTTAATGGCCTTGATGCATATGCACTCCACAAGGACAGTGGCTTTGGTGGTGGATCCAGCCCCCAAACGAGAGACCAAGGTAGATAGGCAGACTCGATTGATTCAAATATGGCGAAACAGGAAGACACATATCCTATGTGTTTCTTTCTCGGTTTTCACTATTTGGAACATAATTTGTATTTCAGGTTTCAGAAAATAATTAGGTGATAGACACCAAACCTCTAACCACGAATGAATATGTAATCCAATTCTAGAAAATCTAATAGAAGTACAAATATCGTCTCTAACTTTGTCCATTCCACCATCACCGACGCCCAAATCTGATCCATGAATATTGAAATTAGATCGAGGAGTGCTTCTACCCTTTGGGCAAATAGTTTGGGTCATTGTCAATTGTCATATTGTAAGAAATCTTCATCTAATGCATCGACTTTACGAATAAAATTGTGGATTGCCATTGTAGCCGAGACAAGCGCCACTTGGTCTTTCCAAGGAACATTGACGAGCACATCTTTTATTGTATAAAATCTTCATTTCCAGCACCCAAATGTTCGTTCGATAGTACTTCTTAATGAAGAGTGCAAATGATTGAACACTTCAAACTGATTACTATATGCAATAGCTCGATGAAAATCTAGAAGATGATACTTCTCACATTTATATGGTGCAAGAAATCCTGATATATTTGAATTAAGAAGAGTACTTGAACACTTTATACTGATTAGTAAATGCAATAGCCTGTTGAAAATCTAGAAGATGATACTTCTCACATTTGTATGATATTAGAAATCCTGATATATTTGTATAACTGGCATCAACCAAACAACACTTATCTATCACAAATATTAGAAGACCCATATGTAATGAATGGACTACACTTGAAAGTTAAAACCCATTTATTTCAGCCCAGTAATTATATTCACGCATTTGTTATTTTAGATGTCATTCGTCTTTTGGGCCATTACAAATAAACACCTATGTTCATGGAATGTTATAATGAATAAATAAATAAATACTTTCATTTAATGTGAAAAAAAATATTTATCATAACAAATATATAATCCACCGTCATATATATATATATATAATCACCGAAACTAAATAATGAGATGAGGATGCAAGGACCAAACGACAATGACATTGCGGGGCTTTGCAAAATAGTTTCTCTTTATGTCATTAACTTGGTATTTACGTCAAATGTACGGATTGTCTCCTTCAATTTTTTGTCATTTATTTTTATTTTTTTAATCCCTTATTAACTTTTTAACGTAAATATTATTGGATGAATATTTCGCTCTCATCACTAGTTTTTAATTTCGAACTCGAATTATTAGATTTCGCAATTTTCTTACCTCACTAAATAATTACTCCATAAAGTCAAATTATCAGAGCAATTAATGACATCATCCTCATGTAAGCCGAACTACTAATAAAGTTGTAAGCAGTTCCATAAAATGTCGGTAGAAATGTATTTACTATTTAAATTTGTCCTTTCATCTCAAATTCTCAATAGACACTATTAATCATAGTTATTGCCATACTGATAAGCAACAACTTTTTACATTTTTAATACACTAATGAAATATTTTTACTGAAAGAATTAATATATATATTTTATTACGATTAATTGATTTTTTTTCTTCATAATTATGGGCTAGCCTCAAATTTTTTTGGACTAATGTAAAACAAAATTGAATACCTAATTGATTTATATATAGTACTTGTAATTTGCAAAACTTTAGTTGATTTATGTAATAAATAAATCAAACCTCGAGAAATGAATTTATGCAAATATTATAAATAATTTCACTTTAATTTCTTCAGAACTTTAATGCAATGGTTTTGAATGTGAATATTAGTCAAAATCACAAAGAAAAGTCAAAATTATATGTATTTGGCAAATCCTGGAAAGTCACAGATCTAAGTGGTCCCTCGGACGATTCGATTATTACAAATATCAAATGAGGAAAAAAAAAATTGAATTTATTAAGTTAGGTTTAACTATTGTTTTCTCATACTTCACCAAATGGAGATGTTATTATTATTTTATTTTATTTATTATTTTTTATTTTTTCTGGAAATATGATAGTGGTCAAGAATAACATGTTCGGTTCGTCAAATTCAAACCCGCAATACAAATCAAACGGCTCTTAGGCAACCTAAGCAATAATATATATGAACAAAGTTTATTTATTAAATCCACATCATTATAAAGAAAAGGAGTCTAAATCCACGAGTCCATCAAATTATCGATCGATTTTGCATGTCGATATATTACACATAGAGCTATCGAAATCAAAGTCGTATATTCGAGCTAAATGTGTTAATTAGGGCCTACTCAATTAAATAAAAAGCCTGCTCAAAGAATTCACAGAAAGCACCATTACTCTGAATTCTTGATTTTTCAGACCCCACTAAAGTTAATGTTGTTAGAAACAACAAGAAGAAAGAAGAAGAAAAAGAGGTAAAATATACACAAACTAGAGTGTGTAATGTGAGAGAAATCTTAGCTTTAAAGAATATACATTGAACCACATATATATACATGCATATATGTATGTATACGTTGCTTTCAGCAAAGGATATATATAGGTAAAAGAAAATTCCAGCACCAAACAAACACTCAAACACATGTATAGAAATCTACATATTTTTTTGGCTATCTGCCAATTAATTTATTTATTATATTCACATACTAAATTAAGTCATAATATTAACTAATCTGAAAAAAAAAAATACATGATCCTAATTTAACACATCAAAATATGGACCTACCAATATTATATAATTTTATATTCCTATTATTATTATTATTATTTATAGCACAGTGTAGTACCATACTTCCCTCCCCCATCTACACATTCACATTCATCACTCTCTCTCTCTCTCTTGTACGTACTCTCAACCTGCATTTATTTTATTTTTCCAGAGAGATCTCTCTCTCTAGAGAGAGTGAGAGAGAAACAACTATATATATATATATATATCTTGAATTTGATCTTATTAATTCAAATATTAATATTACATATTAGTTATTAATGGGTTTTCGATTTGTTCCACTTGCGATCACTAATATTGTATTGATCCTCGTTATCGTGACATTAGTCAATGCTGGTCAATGGCCGCCTTCACCCGGTTACTACCCGAGTTCCCGGTTCAGGTCCATGAGCTTTTATCAGGGTTACAAAAATCTCTGGGGTCCAGGTCATCAAAGTGTTGATAACAACGGCATCACTATTTGGCTTGATCGAAACTCTGGTTTGTTATTTTTATTTTTTCTATTATTTATTAATTAATTATTACAATTAGTTAATTGTTTTTTCGAACGACGATTAGGAAGCGGGTTCAAGTCGGTGAAACCGTTTCGATCCGGCTACTTTGGAGCCTCGATTAAGCTCCAGTCTGGTTATACTGCCGGAGTTATTACAGCTTTCTATGTAAGAAATTTCATTTTAATTTTTATCTTAATGATGAACACTTTATATATGTGACATGCAATTATTAGTAAAAAGAAAACATCGTACATTAATAATAATAATTAATGATGAAATATTATTTATTTTACAGCTTTCAAACAATGAAGCGCATCCAGGGTACCACGATGAGGTGGACATCGAATTTCTGGGTACAACGATCGGAAAACCTTACACGCTTCAAACAAATGTGTACGTGCGAGGAAGTGGTGATGGCAAAATTATTGGTCGAGAAATGAAATTTCATTTATGGTTCGATCCCACGCAGAATTTTCACCATTACGCCATATTATGGACTCCCATGGAAATCATGTAAGATCATTTTTATTTATTTATTTATTTATTTATTTTACCTTTATTATATTCCTTTGTTTTTTTCAATAATTAGCCATAAAACGTGTCCAACTTTTATTTTAATAAAAAAATAATAATTTTTCGGTACGGTAATATTTGTCGTTTTGTAAATTTTCTTGTGATCGTTAATTATAGAAAGAAGAATAGACCCGAAGAGTAAGATGGAGTATCAATTACTTCGTATATTCCATATTATCTGACCTTTTAAATTTTCAATACTGCATTAAATACATTTTTTCTTGTTTTTTAACATTATTAATTCAACTATAAGTAGTAATTCTCTCTTATTACATCAATAAACGATTAAGGTTATTTTAGTTCTTTTAATGTCTTTTTCCTAAAATCAAGACACATTTATTGAGATTTTTAATACTTGTGCAAAGTTGAAAAACGACAATTGATTAGGAACCGGTGGAGTAATTAATACTTACATAATTTTGTTAAAAGAGTAATTTGGGTTTTTTTTTTATCAAAATAATTTGATAAATTATTTACTCTGCATGCATAAAAATTAATTAAAAAGCTAATAAAATGTCACGTAGGGTAAAGATCATTTATGTATTATCATTACCCTAAGAAAATGTCAATATTTACTTATTTACCAATATTTATAGGTGACACCACCTAAAACTTCCATTCAACAATAAATGCTACTAGCCCACAACCATTGATTGAGAATGTATAAAATGTATTTTACTATTATTACAAATCTTGATTAATATAATATTTAATAATTGAGATGTAATTATCACAACACTATTATATATGATGTGATTTAATTTGTTCTTTTCTAATT